TTTTGAGACAGGGTTTCTCTGTGTAGCTTTGCACCTTTCCTGGAACTCACTTGGTAGCCCAGGCTGGCCTCGAACTCACAGAGATCCGCCTGCCTCTGCTTCCCTAGTGCTGGGATTAAAGGCGTGCACCACTACCACCCGGCTAAACTACTCTTAAAGACATGCCTGGTGCTGTAGCCCAGCCTGGCCTTGAACTCAAGTTCTGCCTGCTTCTATCTCCCAAGTTCTTGGATTATAAACATGATCCAGTAGACCTGGTTTAAACTTCTGAGCTTTAGGGGCTGGAGAGATGATGCAGTGGGCATTGATTCTAATTCCCAGCACTCATGTACAAAACAAAAACCCAGATATAGTTATACATGCTGGGAACCTCAATCCTAGGGAGGCAGAGACAGGGGGATCATGGGAACTGGCTAGCCAGCTAGTATAGTCAAATAAGTGAGCTCCAGGTTCAGTAAAAGTCCCTGTCTCAAAAAATAAGACCTTTCATTTCCCCATGTGGCTGTGTGTGCATACACATAGACATACACACACACACACAGGCACATACACAGATATACACACAGATACACATACACAGACACATACACACAGAGACACACAAACACAAACTGCTCTTTCAGAGGACCAGAGTTTGATTCCTAGCATCCAAGCCAGGTGGTAACTACACTCAAATACACACACACACACCCCACAATTAAAAATAATAAATCTTTAAGAAATAAAAACTATAAAGGGGCTTATGTAGGGACACTTGGCTCAGTCTGGGAGGAAGGGACTGGACCTGCCTGGACTGAGTCTACCAGGTTGATCGAAGTCCTCGGGGGGAGGACTTGTCCTGGAGGAGGTGGGAATGGGGGGTAGGCTGGGGTAAGGGGAGGGTGTGGGAGGGGGGAGAATAGGGGAACCCGTGGCTGATATTTAGAACTGAATGGTATTGTAAAATAAAATTAAATTAAAAAAAAAAACTGTAAAGGGTAATTAGAGAAAATTTTCATTTTCTTCTCCTAGTATGAACTGCTCTATTAGACATGGGAAGCAATTTACTCTCTCCCAAACATAGCGGATTTTACTGGTCATAGGATCAGAAATAATATACCCTGTACAAATCATATTTTATTTATTTATTTTTAATTTTTTTGAGACAGGGTCTCTCTTTGCATAGCGCTGGCTGTCCTGGATCTCGCTCTGTAGACCAGGCTGTCCTTGAACTCAGAGATCCTCCCGACTCTACCTTCCAAGTGATGGGATCAAAGGCGTAAACCACCACCCAGCAATTTTTTTTTTTTTTTTTTTTTTTTGAGGCAGGGTTTCTCTGTGTAGCCCTGGCTGTCCTGGAGCTCACTTTATAGACCAGGCTGGCCTTGAACTCAGAGATCCACCTGCCTCTGCTTCCTGAGTGCTGGGTTTAAAGGTGTGTGCTACCATGCCTGGCTACCTGGCAATTTTTTTTAAGTTAGTGTATTTATTAATTGTTTTCATTTTATATCTATAACCCATGTCATTGGCAATTTAAAAGACTTTATTCCCTATCAAGTTAAGTTTCTGTTGATGTTTCTTTTATGAGATGGGAATCTCACTATGTAGTCCTGGTGGGCCTAGAACTTTCTTTTTTTAAAAAAAATGTGTGTGTGTGTGTGTGTGTGTGTGTGTGTGTGTGTGTGTGTGTGTGTGTGTTTGCACGCATGCCTACACGAGTCAGGGTTTCTCTGTGTAACCCTGGCTGTCCTGGAGCTCATTCTATAGATCAGGCTGGCCTCGAACTCAGACATCCACCTGCCTTTGCCTCTCAAGTGCTGGGATTAAAGGCATCCACTGCTACCACCTGGCAAAAATATATTTTAAAAATTATATTTATGGGACTGGAGAGATGGCTCAGAGGTTAAGAGCACTTGCTGTTCTAGCAGAGGACCCAGGTTCAGTTCCTAGAACCCACATTTTGTCTTGAACCATCTGTGACTCCAGTTCCAAAGAATCCATAACCCTCTTCTGGCTTCCTTGGGCACCAGGCATATATGTGGTGCACATACATACATTCAGGCAAAATACCCGTACACTTAAAAATTACATTGACTTTTTGATTTGGAGGGGGCGTGTGGTCAGTGGGTTTGGAAGCCAGAGGACAACTTATGGAAATCAGTTCTTTCTTCCAATTGTGGGTCCCAGGGATCAAACTCAGGTCAGTAAGCTTGGTAGCATGCACCTTTACTCACTGAACCATCTCCGCAGCCTGGCCTGGAACTTTCTAGGTAGAGCAGGCTAGCCTCACACTTCCTGCAATCTTCGTGTCTCTGCATGGCCAGTGCTAAGATTACAGACATGAGCTCAGTGGGGCCCAGAAGTCCAAGCCACCGCTGAAAATATGATTGTTGACATGGTAACGGGCCCTGATATTTGCAAAAGCAGGGCGCAACGTATTCAGCAACAACAACAGAGTTATTTTTGACTAAAGCAATGTTGAGAGTGTCCAGATGACTTTTGTCCCCCTAGTGTCCAGTTGGCTTTTAGCAACCAAGAAATACAAGCTAGGTGGGACCTTTGATCTCAGGAAACTAAAACATGACCTCAGTATAGGCACAGTGGTCCCACAACATCCATAGGATCGGTTCTGGGGCACCCCTGGATACTCAAGCCCCTTAAATAAAGCTGAAGCAATGTTAGCATACAAGCTATGCAAACACTCTCTACGTTTTAAGTAGGCTCTAGATTTCTTACATCGGCGAATACAGGGTACAACAGTTGTCATATTGAATTGTTTAGGAATGGCGACAGGGGAAAACGTCTAAGCATCCAGTAAAGACCAAACTTTTCCCAAATATTTTTTTTAGCAGAGGTTGGTTGAATTCAGAGATCCAGAATCTGTGTCCACGGAAGGCTGTCTGTCTGTGCTGAATCTACACGGACTGAGCTTTGGGCCTTTTGGACTGATGCCAATATATTGCAACGGTATACTGCGCTTCCTGAGTTATATGCCACTTTCTCCATTTGGAGTGCGGACCTCAAATAACTGTGGTGTGGCCTTTTATCCGACGTAAGGTGCTGCTTCCCAAGCTCGGTCTACCGACACAACTGGTACAAATCCTGGAGAGGTCAACAGGAAAGAAAAGGAGCCGGCACGCGGGCGAGGCTGCTGACCTGGCTGACGCTCTGCTTCCTTTCGTACTGAACTGGGATGATGTAGCCTAGGATAGAGAGCTGGTCGATGATGTCCTCCATAACCGCGGAGACCCTCAGCACGTCCAGCAGGGACAGTAAATCTATGACTTCTGCGGGGGTCTCTTCCTCCTCTTCATTTTCTGATTCTTCTTCTATAGCGCCAGGGGGTTCTCCTGTCACTACCACGGTCACCTCAGGGTGCAAAGCTTCTGAAGGGAAGTCCAAGGCTTCCAACTGGTCCCTAAGGCCACGAGAAGAGACAGATGAAGTCAGTGCTCAATGAGGAAATATGACTGACCCTCAAAAACACAGGCGGCATGTACACTGACCCTAAGTTCACTCTGTCAGAGAACATAACCTCTATAAAAAACAAAGGCAGCTGTTTGCAGGAGATTTTTCCAGAGACCCTCCAGTAGGACCAACCAAAGACAACGTATTGGCTGGCAAAGCCATACAGTCTATGCTGTTTTGCTAATGCAATTTGAATTTGAGCCACAATTAACTTTATTTGAAAGCACCATATTTAGATGCTAATCAAAAGTGCCTCATGATTACTGAAAGACAGGATATGGTAGCCAGCCTCTAAGGTGGCCCAGATAACTCTTCCTGGTCCTTATGCCTGGGTGGGTGGTTTTCTGCACTGAGTAGGGGAAGCCAGGAGGGTCTGCAGAAAAGAAATGTGATTTCTAGACAAATGGTAAATCGCATGGCAGCTTGGCCCTCACTCCAAAGGTCACTCCCAGGGAAGCGGCGTGCCTTGTCTCTCATGGGGACACTTACACTACCCCTGGTCAATTTCAACCTTCTGGTTAATACTGTCAACTTCACTGGATCTAGACTCACCAGATAAACCTCTGGACATGGCTGTGGAGGACTTTCTAGGACTGGGATTCTTGAGATGGGAAGACTCACCTTAAACGGACTGAATCAAGAGGAGAATGGAGCTGAGCCTCAGCCTTCATGTCTCTCTCTGCCTCCTGACTGTGGGTGCCACGTGACCAGTCCCTCTGCTCCTGATGCCAAGCCTTCCCTCCATAACAGACTCTCCCCCAAAGTGTGAGCCGTTCCCTTAAATGGCTTCTTCTCCAGTATTTTGTCCCAGAAATGAGAGGGTTAACTAGCACAGACCCCCAAAACAGAGCCATTAGCCAAGCTGGTCCCAAACTCCCGACCCACCGGAACTCTGAGATGGTAGATCTTTATATTTTAGGTCATTACGTTTGGGGGCAGTTTGTACCAGGCTTTTTCTTTGGGGCCACCAACCAGCTCCCAAATCATGATGTGGAAACTTATTATTAGTTATAAATGCTCGTCCTAGCTTAGGCTCATTTCTGGCTAGCTCTCGTAACAAATTAAGCTGTTTCTCTTTACCTTTTGCCTTGGGGGCTTTTTACTTTTCTTTCTGTTTCTGGTGTCTGGCTGGCTGGTGGCTGCCTGGCTTCTGGTCCCTGGCATGTCCCTCTCCTTCTCCCTCATTCTCTCTGTTCTTCTCTCCTACTTATTCTCTCTGCCTTCCATTCCCCACCTATCCTTTCTCTGCCTAGCTATTGGCCCTTCAGGTCTTTATTAGACCAATCAGGTGCCTTAGGCAGGCAAGGTGAAACAAATGCAACACATCTTTACATAATTAAACACACACCCTTACATCGTTAAAAAAATGCAGCATGTTAGCAGGGCGTTGG